AAATCTGCATATAGAAGGTGTTTTGGACGATAAGTTCTAAGTGATATTTTCAAAGATGTACTCTGTAAGGCAATTGCTTGCTGTGCTTGCAATGAACTTGTAGCTTGGGCTTGTAGTTTACGAACACTGATACCAGTGCAGTAATTCATAATCAGCGGCAGCATTCACTGATTGTTGCCTTCTTTATCATACATACATTCTGAATACTTAAGAAACCTATTTTTTTTTATCCTCTAGGTGAAGAGATTTTGTACTATGTTTATGTTCTCTGATTGAAGAAGTGGGTGTTCATATGTTTTGCATATATATTTTGGTATGGAAGCTCAAATACAAATTTGGTATTTCATAAAATATTCTGAAGAGTTTGATTTGAAGTATGCTGTACTAGTTAAGTACATTGTACTTCGGAGGAAGAGGGTAAAGCAGAACATAGTGGTGAACTGACAGCATCAATATTTCGAAAAACAGTAAAATTGTTTTGTGTGCTTTGGGTATATAACAGATCATTTGGTAAAAATATTTATAGTGGATTTGTGCATTTAGAAAGCCAACCTTGGTGACATACCTGGTGTTAGAAAACTTTTGACACCATATTTAGATTCTCAGATCTATTCAGTGCTAGCAAAACCACATTTTTCTATGAAAAGCTTGGTCAAATTAAATATTTGCAAGAGGTCTTAATTTGCTAAATATTCCTGCCGCCTAGAGTATTTTGATGTTTACATGGTTCTCATTTTAATATATTACATGTTGCTTGGAAAATGGAAAGTGTTATTTTCCCTAAGTTGAATATGGCTGGATTGCTGCATGCTTCTCCTCTCCCGGGTATGAGTCAGCTGAGCACTGTTTCTTACAGTCTCTGGGCTCACAAGTTGTTTATTCAGATGTGGGAGAGAGATTGCAAGAAGGTCCTGGGTATGGATTTGAGCTACATCTCTGAAAATGTCAGTGTGTGTGTGATTGTTAATTCATAAACCATTTGTGTCTTCTCTAAAGATCTAATAATTTGAGGTTGCTGCATTTAAACATAGTGAAATTAAATATGTTTCTCTGTCACAGACATGTTTAAGCTCTGATTGAAATATAATCTGATAATACTTTGCTCTGAATAAAACTGTGAGGGTAGAAAGGCTGTTAAGGAAATTTCTGGTTAGTTTTATAATAAACTTCAGGACAGGAAAATCTCTTTGAAATTCTGTCTTGATGGACCTTAGTAAACAATAGAAGATGACAGAATCTTGTAATGAAAATTAGTTTTGCAGATGAAGGAATATGTAACTCATGCTTTCAAGCAGGATAAACAAGGTTTCAGACTGAGTTTAAACTGAGTCCCTGTGAAGTTATGTTGTGAATGAGCTGGGATTCCTAATGAATTTAGAGAGTTTACACTGAAACAACATGTCTCGGCAGCTGTCTTTCTAGTATTTGGGCTTAGAATGTAAACCCCTCCACTGCTGGTATTCCACACATTTCAGGGAGATACAGTTCTGTTACTTGGCTTACGACAAGGAGAAGCAGCAATTTACTGTTGTAATGACTATGCTAATAATGGGTTGCTTTTTTTTCCCCTCACCCTAAATAATTTGTTTTAATGAAAATTTTCTGGTTACTGCAAGAGAAAATTGTCACTAAGGTATTTTTAGCCAATCCCACAGTATTTCGGCAGAAAAGAAAAATACTTTGGCATGCTTCCTTGCTGTATCAAAGTATTTGAGTGCCTTGTGATGCTCCTCCAGCTTTCATGCCACGTGGCAGGTCATGGCAGGAGATGGTGTGTCCTCTCTCCCAGGGTGCCCTACTCTGCCCTTCAGGGGCTGCAATGGGTCACTCAGAACATGATCCATATGGCTCCCTGCCTGGGCAGGCAAACGCTGCATGTGCAGTGCTAAGGAGGAGATCCTGGTGGTCTGGGTAGGGTCTGTGAAGTCCTTGGAGCTAGTACAGACCCGTATATACAGCTTCAGAGGCAGAGAACAAAGAATTCCTCTTCCAAAAGATTATCACCCTGAAGGACACGACAAGGACAAACTTACTTCACCTTCTCATTGCACTTTTTCTGCTTTGGAGACATTCATCCCTATGTTGAGAAACTCCTTCCTTTCCTGTTATGCTGTGTTTCTGTTCCTCTTGCCCATTTTCCCGCGGTTTCAGCAGTCAGGCTGCCTCTTTTTTGCCTGCTCCAACCTACTGTTCAGATAAATTTGTGTCCTCTGCCTCTTCCAGCAAAAAGGAGACAGAATTTATTTCCATAAACAACATTTGCAGCTTGAGGGACCAGCTCTTCAAATTGCAGCCTTTGAGGAGTCTCATCGTTTCTCCAGGAAGTGATGATATAGCAGAGATTAATTACCAACCATTAATCCCAGATATTTTATGATCATTTTACACGTTAAATAAATATTCCTTATAAAATGTTCTGAGGGGAATTTAATAGTGTATATAATGTATCATTGTCTGTGTATGAGTGCAGTACAGGTTCCCAAGCAGTTCTTTGGATGAGGTCCATCATCGTGTGAAGAAGCAGTTAAAAGCACACACAGCATGGCTAGATTCTTCTTGATCTTTCTTTCTGGTGGCATTTGACTGAGATATATATTCTCTAAGAGAAAATTCTGCCAGTCAGGGGTCATATAGAGCAATGTAGTCACAAATTCCTTTCCCTGAGACAGGTAAAGAGGAATCAGCAGGCTCTGCTCAGATGTAGAGTTACAGAACCAGAGAATGGTTTGGGTCAGAAGAGACCTTAAATATCACTTAGTTCCAACCCTCCTGCCACAGGCTGGGACACTTTCCACTAGACACTAGGGTTAGGGTTAGATATCCCCAGATATCTTGTTGGCCCCTTTAGGCACTGGAAGCTGCTCTAAGGTCTCCCTGGAGCCTTCTCTTCTCCAGGCTGCACAAGCCCAGCTCTCTCAGCCTGTCTCCATATGAGGGGTGATCCAGCCCTTGAAGCGTCTCCGTAGCCTCCTCTGGACTCGCTCCAACACATCCATATCCTTCTTATGTTGTGGGCTCCATAGCGGGGTGCAGTACGGCTGGTGGAGTCTCATGAGAGCAGAGTAAAGGGGTATAATCCCCTCTCTTAACTTGCTGGTCATGCTGCTGGGGATGCAGCCCAGGACATGGTTGGCTTTCTGGGCTGCAAATGTGCATGGCTGGGTCTTGACAACTTCCACCCCCAAGTTGTTCTCAACGCGGCTTTTACTCCAGTCTTCACCCAGCCTCTATTTGTGCTTGGGATTGACCCCATTGTGGAAAAATGTACCTGAGAGCATCAAGAGCATGCATTTGGTGACCATGTCACAGCCTGTTTAGCTCCTGGGTGGATGCTGCAGACCCCAGTGGACTTTAACCCCTGAGATTATTGTCCGTTGGAAATCAGACTGGGTTCAGAGGGCTTCAGAGTCACCACATTTTAGGTTTATGTGTCTGTCTGATCACAGCTTCATCTTCTTGTATAATCACAGCTAAAATTTCTTCCTGTGGCAGCATACAAAGGTGCTTCTTCTGATCAAAGGGAAGGATAAAAAAAATATATCAGGTAATACTGTAAAATGTTCTTTGCTCAACTGAAGCATAATCTAGAACTGCAGAAACAAAATTTCTGTGTCTGGAGTCTGTAATATTTATTTTTAAAAAGCCTTTTATGTAAATTTCTGCTAGGTTCTACCAAGCCCTGATGTCTGATATGTTTGTAAAAGGAACAGATTCTTCCTTAAAAAGTCACTTACCTGTGCATTTTTTAGAAAAGGGTTTATCCTCTTAGGTTTTTTTTTTTGTTGTTGTTATTGTAAAAAGATTATTCTTCAGCTAGGGAGAAGCCTTCATAAGTAAGAGTGTTTCAGGATATTGAGCATCAAATTTCTCAGAGTAATTTTGAGATGATGAAAAATTAATGTGATGGCAGAAAAATAAAACCAAGATCCCTTTGTTAAGATAATATGCTAGTGTTGGCATATGGTGCAGAAGTGCACTGCTTGAAGGTCACCGTGAGCGTTGGTTACAGCCCAGCACAGCCCGGGCATGGGAGCCACCCTCTGCCAGGCTGTAGACACAGGAGGGCTCAGTTCAGTTTATTCGTGAGAGCAGCAAGCACCAGTCATCACTGAAGACTAATTAATCAATGTTAATTAATCAGCCTCAGTTAAGAGACTGATTGAAAGTGTGAATGTAAATTATTTAAAAATTCAGGTATTTCTTGTTCTGTTGTTTGAAGAAGCATCTTGGTAGTAAGTAGTTGGGGGGAAGCTGCATGGTGAAGTGGGAGAAGGAAACATGATGACTCTGTCTTCCTTTGCCTACAGCTTTTGCTTTAGAACAATTATAATTATTTGTACGTGGGATTTTTCCTTTCTTTTCATAGGCTGTTTCCTAGAAAGGCACTCTGTATCTCGCTCGTTTTTGTGGGCTTGTATGAGATGATACCATAATTTTCCTTAAAGTTTCTAATTGACTGTACAAATATTTTTCCTAACTAGTCAATAATATGTAAAAGATACTCAGCTAGGATGTGGGTGCTGTATTTTTCAGGATGGATTATTTTTTTTTGTCACTGAAGATTAGTTTATTTATTTACTTACAGGAATGGGGTTGTGCAGTCACATGCCTGGTAGTTAAACCAAAATAAAAAGTAAACCAAGTTGGTTAGAATTAGTCTAATTTACATGTTCTTCAAAGATTTTCCATAGCTATAAAAGTGTTTGCCAAACCTTTTCTACCTGCAGAATCTCACGGAGAATCTAGTGCTATGCTCTGTAATCCTGATGTAAATCTCACAAGAACAATCATCGAGATTACAACCAAAAGCAGCAAGGGAACAAATCTGGGGGATTTAATCATCTTAGAAAAGAACTGGATATAAATTTAAGTCCAGATAGAGATAAAACCTCTTGTGGAGCATAGAGAAAATTGTGTTGGTTTTTTTTTTTTCTGTTTGTTTGTTTGTTTGGACTGATGCCCACATCCTAAAAGTTGGCTTTTGCTATTTTGTGTTATAGCTGTTATTTCTCGAAACCAAGAAGGACCTGGAGAGATGGGAAAGGCTGTGCTCATTCCAAAGGATGACCAGGAGAAGATGAAAGAGCTGTTTAAAATCAATCAGTTTAACCTTATGGCCAGTGACTTGATTGCCCTGAATCGGAGTTTGCCTGATGTGAGACTGGATGGGTGAGTCCCTGGGGGACGGCGTGTCTTGGTGCCATCTGCTGAGCCCACCTCCAGCCTTCCTCCAAGGCACAAAGGTTGTCTTGAATTAATGGCTGTTATTAGCAGTGGTTGCCTAAGCAAAAAGAGGTGAGATTTAGATTGGATATAAAGAAGAAGTTCTTCACTGTGAGGGTGGTAAGGCCCTGGCACAGGCTGCCCAGAGAAGCTGTGGCTGCCCCAACCCAAGGCCTGTTCAAGGCCAGGTTGGATGGGGCTTTGAGCAACTTGGTCTAGTGGAAGGTGTCCCTGCCTGTGGCAGGGGGCGTGGAATTCTACAGTCTTTATGTTCCCTTCCAACCCAAACCATTCTAGGACTCTATGAGCCTAAGGAACCTATTGAAGAATTCAATAGGTTTGAGTGGTTCTAGATTTGGCTTCTAATGCAACCTTTCTTAGGGAAAAGTTCCTACATCACAAGTGTTATTATCCTGTGCAGTTTATTTTGTGAACAGCTAAAGAATTGTCAACTAGAGCTATTGGTTTGCATTGCAACACAAAACAAAATGCCCTCTGGTGTGTCCTATCACCTGGAATAATTTAAATATTTTTTTTCTTCAGGGAAAACTTTTATTTCTAAAGTTTTAAAAAGATATAAACATAAATGTCTAGTTTATAAATGTTCACAACTGTGCTGTCAGCTTTTAAAAATGGGCATTTACTGCTGATAAAGAGAAAATGCTGCTAATACTAAAAGTACCTGCAGGATGTTGTTTTCTTCTAGCTTTATCAATAGACATTTCTGGAATAATCAGAATTTTATAGAACATCTTTCAAAACGTTTTGCAGCAATATAAATTCTGAAGGGGGGTTTGTGGTTGGGGTTTTCTGTGGGGAGAGGGTGTTGGTTTTAAGTCTAGTAGCTTTCATTATTTTTTGAGTAAAGGCTGGTGTTCATGTGGTGACTTTGAGACTGTGGGATAGCTTGGGGCTGGAGAGGGGGGAGGGAGTGTTTCACTAAGTCCACTGATTTTTTTTTAATGGAATTTACAGATCAGTTTTTGCAGTCACAGCAGCGGGCTTGTGTTTGCACATAGATGTGATGTGAAAGTCCAAATAAATGTGTTTATTTCCATTTAAATGGGGATTCTGAAGACTATCAATTACCCTGTACCAAGTCACAGTACTTTAAAAAAACAGAAAGCCTAGCTCTGTCATATATGTTGTTTTCAGCCAGAGAATTTCCTCCTGTCTCTCAGGAGCAGCATTTACTGGAATTTATTTGTAAATGCCTGCAAATAAAAGAAGCAGAGGCACTACTTTACCAACAAACCCTGTTCACAAGCAGCAGAGGTGATGCTTCTCCACAAGGTGATCATTTGTAATTCAGTCCATTCTGGACAGCATCCTCCTTTCCCCTGTTGGAAAGGAGCTGTTGGAAGCACAGTGTGTACTGAAGGAACCATTATGATGATCAACTTCATGGGCAGTTCTGATCAGTCTGAGGGAGATGAGCCATTTAATACAGAGAGAAATCTGTCTGCTGCATTTTCTAGATGAAAAGGAATATATTGTATACTTTACTGAAAGGACAGAATCATCATAGAATGGCAGAGTTGGAAGGGACCTTAAAGATCAGCATCAGCCTCGAGGAGCTCTGTGTTGCTGCTCAGATGTTGGCAGGTTGTGCAAAACCTGGGAAAGGGCCAAGCTGTCCTTCATTTCTGTAATGGTGCTGGGAGATTAAAGGAAAGAAGGGCATTTATACAGGACTAATTAACTTCTGACATGACTTGACCTTTCTGTTGTACCTATCTCATGTCAACATTTTGCTGCGTGTAAGTGATGTTTTTGCATCTCTCTGAGTGTTTGCCGTGCTGCTAAGTTGCAGTCTCCGTTCCAGCTGGTGCAAGCTGAGAAAGGTTCCTGTGCATCAGGGCTGTGCAGGGCTCGCATCCACTGGCAGCAGTCCTGAGCACAGTTTCTCCTCTTTGTCTTGCACCAGGGGGCCCTGATGAATGCAGCAACTCCCCTCCATCAGCTGTTTGGAGATGTTGGAAAAGCGGCTGACTGTGTTTTTCTTCATGATTTCTTCTTGCTCCCGGTGGTATTAAGTGTAGGCTTAAAGCAGAAAATTATATGTCTTCAATGAAAATAAAACCTCAGCTTTCCCATTATTCCTGTGTTTAGAAGGTTTTGTGAATTCCAACTGTGGTTTGACCCTAAATGCAAAATATCATCTCCTGTTGAGATTCCCTACTACCTTTATATCTCTGTGGTAATTATTTAGATTTGTGTTATAATATGATGTCCATTTAGCAAATGAATGCCTACAAATATACGTAAGAATTCTGATGAGAAACAAACAGCCCAAGAAAAAGAAGAGTCTTGGAGTAATTTCTCATTCTACTCATTGACTCTTCAGTTATGCTGCAGTACAATTATTGGCAAAGCCAGCTGGGAGAGCACTGTGGAAGGGATGTAGTACACTGTCAAGGTAGCTTTTTCATTGTTATGGGTTGTATATGTATATTTTATATATGTATATATACATATGTATGTATATGTATAACATGTATATGCGTATGTATATGCATTATACATTTATCTTTATATTATTTTTCTATATATTATGTAATCTATATAAAAATATATATACATATATACTTATATATAAAGTTATATTTATGTGTGTGTGAATCAATCCATTCCCATTTTTTTCCTTTTCTGGCCGTCTTCATTCCTTCTCACTCTTTGTTCCTCACTGCCTTTTTTCCTCCTGCAGACGATTTTCTCCCATTTTCCTGTTGTGGGTGTGCAGGTTTCGCTTGCCTTGCCAAGGTTGCTGCTGCCTGCACAGCAGTTTACATGTACTTCTGGGAGTTAGTCTTCAGTGTGCAAACTTGGAGTGAAGATCAAAGATGCTTGTCAGTCCTCCTTGCTGTCCTCTAGAGCATGGTACTCTATCCCCCAGTGGCAGATAGTAGCAGGGCTCTCACTGTTTGGGATTGTTGCTGTTGTTGTGCCTCCAAATGATCAAAGCAGTGCTGGGGTGAATGAAGGGAGCATAGGTGTCATAAGAGTCTACGTAATAAACACATATTTCAGTGGAAAAAATATCTGAGGGAATTTTTTTTTTCTTTTCCTCACATTAGCAGATGAACAAAGACCCTGAAATATTTTATGACTTTGCTTCTGATGAAGTTTTATGACTGTGAGCTAATTCTTGGGTTTACACTGCAGGCACAGTACAATCGCAAGCTACACTGCAACCACAGTACTTGGGTTTGTAAGATGGACATCTTTTTCCAGAAAGAAAAATGTTAGATTTCTTAAAAATAGTTTTATTTTCAGTTGCAGGAAGACAAGGAAAGCTGTGTTGGTTGCTGGCGAATGAGAAATTACCTTTACAGCTTTGTGAAATAAAGTGTCTGTTACTTGTCAGGTTCTTCTTCCAAACAGGAAGGTTTAGGATAGACCTAATGGAAAGTCCTGACCTCCGGGGAGTCACTGGGAAGGAACGAGGTGTCTCATGAGGAGATCGCAAACCCCCCTCCCATGTGCTGTAATGAAGCACTATGTCCGAGTCCTAATGCCACTGTCGCACTAACAGTGTAACTTGCATCCTGTTGCATCTAGTGTTATCTACCAAGGAATGTCCCTTGATTACCCGAGTTGGTAATGGGCAACTTGAAGATTTGAATCAGTGTCAGGTCTAATTTGAAATAGCTATCGATTCAACCTCAAACTCAATTTAATTCAACATAGAAATGTTTAATTTTATTTCTTGGTATTTTCTCTGGCAAGGGAAGAAATTCATCTTCAATCTTTTCTGGATGAGTGAAGTTGCAAATGCTATTCTGCAAATTGCTAAACCGTAATAATTGGATTTTCTTACTGAAATTTAGGTTGAGGTTAACTATTGCATTGTATTTTTGTATTTATATGTGCTTAGAAGCATACATTTTTGATCAGAAGCAAACTCTCAGTACAATTTTCTAAGTAGCAATCTTAAACTTGGTGCTGTAGTTTTGTGTTGGCTTCTTCAAAGCAAAAACTTTGGCAGGTTGTCCTGGGGTGGCAGAAGAAGCCTCTGAAGAAGTGGTATAGAAGTGTAATCGCTCCCTGTGAAAATCGCCTTTATAAAATGTCTGTGAAAATTCTTTAGTGCCTCAGACTCCGTATTACAGAGCAGCTTTGATTAGCTTTGATTATTTTTATTATTTTTTATTTTTTTTGTGAGACCACTATTTGTTCTTTATGCAATTTAACCCTGAAAAGGGGGAGGGTAAATTGTTTTATTTTGTGCTGTTCACATCTAATCCATTTGTCTTGCACTAGAAAGTGTTGTATTAGGGTTTTCTCCGTCTCTGAGTCATGGTGGATGGAAGTATGTAGGAGGTCCTTTGTTGCCAGGTTTATCTGCTTGCAGCTTCATACAATTAAAAGCTAATTTATTTTTTAAGGTTTTACTGTGTATATACAGTTATGCATAAGGAATCTGTAAACCACTCATGAGCAAGTAAACTCGGGAAAATCAGTAACTAGTTTAGGCTAGAAAATACTTTGAAATGACAGTTTAGAAATTATTCTTCCTTGTTTGAGGGGGGGGGAAAGATGGGTGAAGGAAAACTCTCCCAGTGTGACTGCCAGTAGGGAGAGAAAGTATATGCAGGTAATCTGTATAATATCAAAGCCAATTCCCAATGTATAAATTATCTAAAGACTGTTAAGATTAAAGAAGGTAATTCTCCAGCAATGAGAAAAAACTGAGTCAACAGACTGCTTCTAAACTGGATTTGTGAGTCTTTCATCTGTACTTTCATGTGACAAAAGGAACAATTAGAATTTGTTGCCATTTCCCTTTTGCTGCTGTGTCTCTCACAGGAGCTGGGCTTTGATTCTGTCCTCGCTTCATCTCTGGTGCCATTGTGGCGGCTGGAGCAGAGGCAGAACTTGCCCTAGGAGCATGCCTCAGTTCCTATTAGCTTAGTGAAGCTCAGGAAAGGAGGGGGGATCACATT